GGATGGATGGAAAGAAGGAAGGAAGGAAGGAAGGAAGGAAGGATGGATGGATGGATGGATGGATGGATGGAAGGAAGGGTGGAAGGAAGGATGGATGGATGGATGGATGGATGTAAAGATGGATGTAAAGATGGATGGATGAATGGATGGATGGATGTAAAGATGGATGGATGGATGGATTTAAAGATGGATGGATGGATGGATGGATGTAAAGATGGATGGATGGATGGATGGATATAAAGAAGATGGATGGATGGATGTAAATATGGATGGATGGATGGATGGATGGATGGATGGAAGGATGTAAAGATGAATGGATGGATGGAAGGATGGATATATGTATGTATGTATGATGGATGGATGGATGTAAAGATGGATGGATGGATGTATGTATGTATGATGGATGGATGGATGATGGATGGATGTAAAGATGGATGGATGGATGGATGCAAAGATGAATGGATGGATGGATGGATGGATGGATGGATGATAGAAGGATGGATGGATGGATGGATGAATGGATGGATGTATAGAAGGATGGATGGATGGATGGATGAATGGATGGATGGATGGATGGATGGATGAATGGATGGATGGATAGAAGGATGGATGGATGGATGGATGGATAAACAAACCTGATTAATGGTTTAATTAATGATGTGAGACCTTCATGTTTTGACTGAACACACACATCATCAATAATAATAAACTATAGTCAGTTACTGCAGGTTAATATTTTTAGCAGCAGAATTTTATTCATAAATTACTTTTCAAGCTCAGTTTTTCAGTAACACAACAGACCGACACTGATAAATATGCATTTGCGTTATAAAAGGGGTGTTGTGTTGCTGTGTTTTCACCTCAGTTGGTCTAACAAGATGTTAGATTTGATAGACTGRAAAAAAAATCCATCCCCGGGATGTGTGTGGCTTATAAACAGGAAATAAGAGCTGCCTGTGTCATGAAGCAGGCTCAAACCAGCTGAACACAGATGATCTCTTTGTCTGGTCAGGTAACCATGGTAACCAGTTAAAAGCCTGACTCACCATGAGAGAGTGTCGGTGAAAAGTAGTGAAATCTAACAGCTTTTCTTTTCTTTTTAATTCATTGATAATGTTATTATGAACTCACACAGGGCTAAATATGTGTATGGCACTGAACCAGTTTTTTTTTTTTTTCAGTAATATTAGCTCTACCAACATCCTGGGATTTATGCCAATGTCTGCCTTTTCTTAACGTAAAATGAAGAAAGAAAACACTGCGCTTGCTCTCCTGTGTGTAACTACACAACAAAGTCCTTTCAACATGAATCAGATTCCAAAGCAAAGATTGAGAAAGTGAATCCATCCATGCACTGAAGCAACAAACAGCCACTTCACTCCATCACTTTGTTTTGGATTTACTTACGTTGATAACAGTTTTAATTTCTGTATTCTCTTTGAACCAAGACTGACATGAAGCGTTTGTCACAATAAGGTTTTCATTGGAGGTAACCCACATTTTCTTTTAAAATGCACGGGTTTATAAATAATTTAGAACAAAAAGAGGCATATTTTTCAAATATTCCCCATTCAGCTGCCCCACAACAGCCTTTTCACACATACCAAAAAGACTACATTTTATCATCAAATGAAGGAACCCATTTTAGGCTTCGTTAGCTTTCAGATAAGTGAAGGGGTACTGTTCTCTTCTGTCGTCTTAAATAACCGTCTTCGCTTGTCAGGCCGGCTAAACTGGCAACAGAGAAGACTTTTCTCAGAGCATCAAAGCAACAAAACATTTAAAAAGTGAGATAAATCAAAGGCAGTTTGACGAAATCTTCACAACCACAAATGAAATACTTCTGAAACTGTTCATCATCCAACAAAACTGACAAAAAACTTCGTCCGCAAGAGGGCTGCAGCTCAAGGAAAATGTTTACAGTCCAAACGAACTACAGCTAATCTGTTTCTGAACAACATGGCTGACGCAAATTCAATGAATTTGCCATTTAAAAACGCCTTTCTGAGCTCTAATCTGATTTGATTGAACAGAATTAAGATACTAAACTCATAGGAAGGAGAATTTTGAACAGGCATTTCTCTTTTGTTATCATGAAAATCAGTGGTGGGCACCAGTCCGCTAAAGCGCAAATCTGCTAATTGCGGACCTAAATATTTTGTTTGCACTTCGGCAGTCTTACTATTTTTTTTATAATTCATAAGCAGATTTGCGCTTTCTAAAATTAAAATGCAGTATTGCTAATAACTAATTATCTACCAGTCATCTTGAACAGCGGAAAGTATGGCTGTCAATGAATCATAACACATGTGATCTATCCAACAGCACCCCTCCCAGATAAACACACTTATTGGGAAGGTATACATCCTTGCTAACTTTTGCTTTCGGTCACGGTTCTCATTTCCCACAATGCTTTGTGTCTGCTAACGTAGCAGGAAGGCAATGTTTAGAACTCCTTGTCTCAGTAAAAACAGTTAACGTTTGTAATCCATACTAAAATTTTATATGTATTGATTTATTTTACTTTACAATCGGAGCTCCTTTAAAAAAAAAAAAGTTTAAACGCTGGAGCTCAATACTTGACGTAATTGGTCAAAGCAATCGGCCAACGGGGTTAGAGATGCAGAAATGATTTAAAGACGTTGTGCTGATGAAGACAGACATCTAGTGGTCAACTGGAGCAACTACATGGAAAACTTTAAAATCCAAGCTCTTATTTTGAAGTTCGCAGATAGTTTCCTGTACTCCGTGYTTTCGTTTCCCGTCACAAAGCAAATCCGTCATGTACCCAGAATGCATCGCTTCAGTTTTCCAATAAACAGTTTTAAAATTACTTTATTGATGCTTCTTCAATGAAAAATCTACAACAAACAAAACAAAGAAGCAGCCGAACTAGCAATCCTCAACAACTTTTTTTAATTTGTACACCAGGAGCCAAAGGTCTGTTTCAGGAAATCACATCCCCAGCAATCGATGGTTGTAGGATTAAGCTGTAAAAGGGTTCATACACCACTAGTTGGCAGTCTTGTGCATATTGTACATGAATTGTTGCCAGCTAGTAAATGTCAAATTGAAATTGTGTTTTAAAATTAGCTGCCGCTGGTTTTTCTATGGCATAAAGTATATTAAAGTTGGGGACCTAAATATTTTCATAAGCGCTTTAGAAATTGTGGAGCTAATTTTTGGATTAGTGCTGCTCACCACTGATGAAAATCAGTGATTTACCTTTTCGTACCAACACTGGCATTACCTGTTCCTTCATAAAATTTGGTGCAGTTTCCATAATCAATGTCTTCTTGTCGGATATCAAACTGTGGAAGAGCGATAGCGTCCATTTGCACTGGGTCTCCCGTCTGCCACATGAACTGCAGGTCGTCTGTTGTGTAGCCGACTGAAAATGTAAAAAAAGAAAAGTCAAATTAAATAGAAAAGGCAAACGAACAAACTTCTTTTTGTTGTTTTAACACCTTTGGGGAAAGAAAAAACTGCAACATTTGTCTCAGAAGCCTGGTTTTAGCTTGAGTTAGCTATAGGTTTGMAAACAAAATACAAACTTACTGTTAATCTTAATTAGTCATGAGAGTATAAACAGTTCTCTCCATTCCTACTTTCAAAACAAAAGCAACATATTTATGAAAAGCTGTCATTTTCTCTAAAACTGTCCAAAAACTACTTAGAAGTATACCTCCCAAATGCCATCAAGTCAGCGATTATATTTATAAGTACCTTAAAGTGTCTGTGACATCAGATTTTTGTAATAAATATGAATGCATTTTTGGAAAGATAACATATATAACATATTACAAAACAAATTTTATGCTGCTCAGATAAACAGTTGTTGAGATATTTGCATGTGAAGCAACAGGAAGTGATGTCAAAGTGGAATGTCTGCTTGTGAACAGAGTGTTACTAAAATGTCTGTCAGCACAGACCGTATAGAGGAATTTGATGTTTCTTCAATTTATTTTGAGTGACTATCAGAGAGATGAAGAAGAGTCAGAGTTCAACTAAAACTGTCTCCATAAACAAAGACCCGGGAGCTTTCTTTCTTAGAGGTCCCCTTTGATGTCACTTCCTGTTTCACTTTTGCTGAACCAAGTTCAGAAGAAAAGATGCCACAAAAGAGTAAAAATTGTGTTTTATGCCAAGTCCCTTACTTATAAAATGTTTTCTTTTACATTTTTTTATATGAAGAATAAACATGTCACAGGCACTTTAAGATGGCATTTTCCTTAACTTACAGCTTTCAAGTTGCATTTTACACCTTTGAGTGTCCATTGGAAACAAAGTCAGATCCAGTGGACAAGAAAGAGTGATTGACAACCTGGAGAAGAAAACAGAAAGCACAAACCTTGACTTTAACATCCTGCATTCTTCAATTTATATTTTTGGTTATAACTATTTTTATTATTATATTTTTTTACTTTGAGCAAAATCATTAAGTTATACTTTAAAGTGCCTGTGATAACAATTTTTTGCAATTAATATGAATGTATTTTTGGAAAAATAACATATTGGGGGGAAAATGCACCGTTGAGACAAACGGTTGTTGAGATATTTGCATGAGAAGTAACAGGAAGTGATGTCAAAGGGGATTGTTTGAAACGTTGCTACAAAAACTCACAACACAGACTGTACATAAAAAATGAAGTTTCTTTAGATTACTTTGAGTCACTATCAGAGATGAAGAGTCAGATTTAAAATATTATTATGTCAATAAATAAAGACCAAGTAGTTCCATTGCTTGAAGGAGTTCCCCTTTGATGTCACTTCCTGTTTCACTTGGAGTCAAGTTCAAGCGAAAATCTGCCATTTATGTGACAAAATGGGTAAAATTATGCCTATTATGCCAAGTTTCTTATATTTTTCTTTGACTTTTTGTGTTTGAAGGATATGCACATCACAGGCACTTTAAACTTGCTATGATGTTTACGTTTTATCATTGACCATAATATGGATGAAGCGTAAATGAATACCTCATGCTGATGAGAACATCTCCGTTGCGAAAGATAAAGAGGAGAATGTTCTCCTGGGTGACATCATGGAAGTTAGCGCTCTTCTCATTAGCGAAGAACAGGTCAGGTTTCCAAAGACACTTGAACATCTTGGGATCAACGGTGAGCGAATCTGACTTGAAGTCCTGAGGCAGCTTCAGCCTTGGGTCGTTCCAGCGCTGCCGCAGGAAAATGTTCACTCTGTAATCCTGTCAGGTTTAACGGCAGTCACGTACAAGCTTGGTTAGATTTTAAATACACACTTATGAACACAACAGGCATCAGTGCAAAAAGGGCAATAATGGAAGAAAACACAAATACATGCACAACGAATATTGGTTTTAAGAATTAACAAAATAATAGGTTTAACAACTTAAATCTCTATAACAGGGCAAGACTTAAAAAAAGACATTTAAAACAGGATAAACTCATTATATATGTCACTTTTTCAATACACAAATGTCTTCTTTTTTATTACTCAAAGCAAACCTTTCAACATTCATGCAACAGACTGACATTTTGCAGCTCATACTTACTGGATAACAAGTATGGAACTGCACAATCCAAAGGTCAAATGTTATCAATACACCGGCATCACATCCCCATTAGACAGAGTATTAGGGGAATGTCTACATTCCTGCTGCTGGGAATGTATCACTAAGCTGTTCTTTGACCATGGGGACAGTTCATTTTGTGGGTGAAGATGGATGGAATGTCAACCACTGTCATAGAGCTGAAGGAATTTTAGTTTTGTGTAAAAAAAACGTGCATGTGTTTCGAGTAAGAGTTAATCTGACAGTATTCATGTTTGTATCATTGTGGCTTTTACGAAATCAGTTTCACAATTATCAAAAAAAAAGCCTGAAAACTTCAGTTGTACTAGTTTCTATGAAATTCATTATAAACTATTTAAAGTTTTTTTTTGTTTACATGAATATGGTCTTTTTATTTGTCCTGATGTGTAAAAATAATAACAAATAATAAAATTCACAACATATTTTTTAGTTTTATAATGTCACCTCCACTGGCCAGAAAGGTTCCTTAAAAGGCTGCGAAAAGGCCCACGGACCACCAGTTGATAATCACAGTTGTCGCTCGTTTTGCGGCTCTGGACACATTTTATCAGTGTGTCGAGTAGCAGAAATGGCTCTTTGGATTATAAAGGTTGCAGACCCCTGCTCTTAACCCACCAACAATTGCCAATGCAAAGTCCAACCACAGCAATGCAAATGATTAAAATGAAAAATATATATGTGTTTAACTCAGTCGCTGTTTATCTTTGAATCAGAGAAAAAGATTTAACACAGAGATTCTCCCCGAGGAGAAAAACAACACATTTGTAAGTTGAAAAACCCTTCTCTAATTGTATGCACATTTGTGTTTTTTTTATCCAGACAATGCAAAACTAGAAAAATTTTCAAGTTTGAAATAAATGCCATATTTATTGTACATCCAGAAATAAAAAAAATGAAGTTATTTTAATTTTCAGACTCCAAATAGCTGCACAAACAGCCTCCGCCTGGCTCCCCTCTGTCTGACAGAGATGAAAGCCAATTCTCACACCTTTGCCTCSCGGAAAACCAGACAAGGAAATATATCTTCCTCCTGGCTAACTATCAAGCTGCCAGTGCAACATTCAATTCCAGGGAGATTTAACACRACTTTGTGTTGTAATCAACAAGAAAAACTCAAACTGGGAAGCAGTAAAAAAAATGGAGCTGTGATTTCTTTCATCTCACAACATCAAAATAGACTTTTTTTTTTCCTTCCTGAAAAACACGACATTCAATCATAAAGTGAAAATAGATGTGTTAAATACTGTAGGTGTGCGCTGGGTGTTAGCCTGAGGAAGGTGTAAATGATGGGAGAGGGTTTCTGGAGATCAGACACCCCTCTGTGTGATAAATTGAGGGAAAGAGGTGGCCAGCTGTCTGTTCTACCTCCTCCAAAAATTGCTTAMAAGATTCTTACATTTCTCTGGTTGTAGGAGCCCAGGGGAAATATAAAGCCATTTGGGAGTTTTGCATTGCTTTTTTCTGTTTAAATGTCCTTTTTTTTGCACTTCTGTTTATTTCTTGATAGTATTTTCTTCCACGTTTTGYCCTCCTTTTACTTCTTTTTGTGCAWTTTTATTTTCATGCCATCTTGAAGTTCATTCACATTTCACATAATCATATTTTTTCCTTCTATTTTATTACTTTTCTTTATTCAGTCTTCAGATTTCTGCATTCTGTCTCATTTCTTATCTACAACATATTAGGGCCACACAAGGAGGTACTTTTTTTTAGGTATGAGAAAAAAGTCATAATAATACGAGATTAAAGTCGTAATATTACGAGAAAAAAATCATAATGTGTAAGAAACCTTTCCTAATAATACAAGATTAAAGTCTTAATATTACGGAATTAAAGTCACAATATTACGAGAAAAAAATCATAATGTGTAAGAAACCTTTCCTAATAATACAAGATTAAAGTCTTAATATTACGGAATTAAAGTCACAATATTACGAGAAAAAAAGTTGTAATATTATGAGAAAAAAATTGTAATTTACGAGATTAAAGTTGTAAAATTACAAGGTAAAGTCGTGATATTAGAGTAAAGTCGTAATATTACGAGAAAAAATTCATAATGCACGAGAAACCTTTCCTAATAATACAAGATTAAAGTCTTAATATTATGGATTAAAATCACAATATTACGAGAAAAAAAGTTGTAATATTATGAGAAAAAAATTGTAATTTACGAGATTAAAGTTGTAAT